TATTTGACGTATACATATAGTGTGACACACAAAGGAGTAAAGGGAAATGGGAACTTGAGAAATTTTATTTCTGTAAATTCCAGTACAAACTGGTCTGATCCACACCTGTGGACTAATGCATGGATCACAATATTGATCCTTCAGATTCTACAATTCTCCAAAATGAGCATTCTTGGCTAATGAGTCATCTTGGCTAAGAAATAATAATACCAAAATGTATTGCAAAATGCTAACTTTAGAATAAAATGGGTAATTGCCTACGAATTTCTGTGCTTTTCTTTTAAAAAAATAATCACAGATTAACACAGAAAGGGGACACGATGGACTAATGAACAAGCACATGTCAAACTGACATAGACTGAAAATAGACTGCTCCATTTTCCAGAAAAAAAAATATATACCATAATTCACATAGTTGAGAAAACATATTCACTTAATATTTCATTCTGATTGAACAAAGAGAGGTAGATTGGTGTTCTGGATAAAAGGCATATTCCTAGTTCAGATAAAGGACAGTAATATTGGCCAGACATGGGGAGCCTGTGATGATCTCAGCTTTATTCTTGTTTTCCACTGTTCTCCTGCAAGGGCTCACTCTCCTTCACAAGAAGGGGAGCACTGGAGCTGATAACATCTCTAAAGGAAAAAAAAACAAACCTAGAAGCAAGTGGATACAATGACAAGTATGTATGAATGCAGGCTTAATGGCTCAGATTCCACTACCATGGTTTCAGAATGGAAGAGTGGCAGTTTTGTTCAGGTGCATGGACATAAACTCAGTGGTCTTACCAGCCAAAAGTTTCAAGACTTGATGGACAAAGTTTCAACTCCAAAGAGTATTGGTCTTTTGATGCTTTCCAAAACAAACTGCAATTATTTCAAAACGCAGTCACCAGGATGCCGGTAGGAGCAAAGCTGCCTCACCGCACTGTTGACTCATGTTAAGTTTGTGGTCCATTAGGACCCCTAGATCCTTTTCACATTTACCGTTGTCAGAAATAAACACAACTACTTTCTACATTCGTGTCTCTTGGCAAAAAGGGAAAAAAATATTTCCTTGACTCTTGGAGAGATGACTAGCTACAGGATCTCCAAAGCACAAAGTTTTCATTTTTTATTTCATTTTATTATTATTTTTTGCTTTGCTATGTTCCCAGCAGTGCATCCTCAACTTGGATCTTGATACAACACTAATCCTTTTGGAAAGAAATCTGCTATTTGAGCTTGTGTCTAGCAGCACAACTGGACAAAAGTCAAGGTTTTGTTTTCTACAAGCTTAAGCAAAAGGCAACATTTGAAGCTGCCCCTGTCTCAAGGACCTTCTGCTCTATCTGATGGGATTTAAACGCAAGCTTTTCACTAAAGCTAGTGGCTACATGAGGAGCAGATGCCTGTAACCAAACAAACAGTACACTAATAGGGGAGAAGATAGGAAGGGAAATGCCTAGGATCACCTTATGTAATATAGTTTCAATCAGCTGCAGAGCTGAGTTAAAGCACCCAAGCACAAAGGCCTCACTTTAGAGACCAGCCTGGGGGAATGTTGGTTTTCGAGTATGTGAGATGTGTTGCCATCAACAATCCTCTTTTTGCATTTTACTTTCTTTCAGTTTGGACATTCTACTGCAGTTCAGCTGCCACCAAATACTACCTAATTTGTCTCACTGTCCCATTATTTCATGCAATTTACACAAGTTAAAGTTAATTAACAATGTAATAGTTTCCACACCTTTAAATTCAATGCAAAGGAAATGCAGTTCAAATGACGGACAAAATGCCATTGATTACATATCATTTGCAGACTGAAAACAACAATGAACGCCAGTCGGTATTGATTTCTGTTCTGGACATGGGATGAATAAATGAACATTGGTAATTTCTACTTCTTTTTCCATTTCCATTGGATTTCATGCCCCTGAAGATTTCCCATGAGGAAATGTAGCCCTCAGGCTGAAAAGCATTCCACCTTCCTGGCTAGGGCACCATCTGGTCTAGGACTAGGGCTGTCAGGAAAGACATGAAAATGAACTTCCAGAAGCTTCAGCAGCCTGCCTGACACTGGGTTCCTCATCAGGACCAGCAAATGCAGAACAATTTGTGCAAGATAAATGCAAGGAATCAGAATCTGAGTTACTCTGTCACAAAAACATGGTTTTTCCAGAACTGTAAAATATTAACAGGTATGGATCCAAACATTATACCGCTTAAATGAAAGTGAGGTTCTCGGTGGCAGCATTTGCTGTGGTTGTTCTGTCCAGCTGTGAGCAAGTATTTGGTTTATGGATGGCCACAGTTTTTTGGTCTTTCATCCCACAAGCAGCAAGTAGCTTTTACCCAGCAGTTTAAAAGGAAACTAGGCCAAATGGAATGTGTCCAGAGGAGGATTGGGAAGGAGACCAAGTCCTATGAGGAATGGTTGAAGGAGTTGGGCATGCTTGCCCCAGGGAAGAGACAATATGATGGCCATCTTCAAATGTCTGAAAGGCTGCCACCTAAGTGATGGATCAATTTTTGTTTTCTTTTGCTCCAGAGGAAAGGACACAAACCACTGAGTTTTAATTTCCAAGAAAGGGGATTTTGAGTCAACATTAGGAAGAAACTTCCTGGTGGAATGAACTGCTTTAACAGTTACAGATAGGTAGCCGTGTTGGTCTGCCATAGTGAAAACAAAAAATTTCCTTCCAGTAGCACCTTAAAGACCAACTAAGTTAGTTCTTGGTATGAGCTTTCGTGTGCATGCACACTTCTTCAGATACACTTCTTCAGTGTATCTGAAGAAGTGTGCATGCACACGAAAGGAAGGAATTTTTTTGTTTTGCTTTAACAGTGGAACAGATAAAAGGTGATAGACTCTTGTTTGCTAAACAGGCTGGGTGACTATCTTTAAGGTGTGTAGTAGCAGTGGATTTCCAGCATCAGCAGGTGACTAGATGAGATGACATTTGAGGTCTCTTCCACCTCTATGACTCTGTGATGCATTTTAGCTAACATGCATAGTGCAAAAACACACATAGAAATACAGGGGTTTACCTAATGAGTACCCATAGCAAAGAGTTCATTTCTTGCACAGCAAGACAATCAAACAGAAAACAGCATGATGGATTCATAGGAACAGAACTCAATAGATGTTCACAGGTCTGTATACCAAGGAGTCTCACTCTACAAGAACGATCATTGCTTGAAAGGGTTTAGTAACCTCTGCCCTGCAGGCCTATTTAGGCCTGGTATGAGTTCCAACTTAGCCTGCAAAGCCGTTTTCTCAAAACCACATCCACTTACCCCACAACTGACTTCACATGTGATGTCGGGCATGTGGCAGATAAGCGTGTGATTCCAACGGAACAATCAGGCACTTAAAGTGAGCTCCTGATGGTTCCTTTGCAAGTGGGGCTCACTGACAAGAGCTGATCAGCGCTGACAGCCAGACCCACTGGGATTGGCTGCACCAGCAAGTTCCGCATCAGGAACCTGCTAGTGCAGCTTAAGGGGCCTTGCTGTCAGCTTGCCAGTCTTCAGAGGGAAAATGTCAGTTTGCAGGCATGGTCTGAATCCGAACTGCCATCTGCAAACAAACTTCAAGGAGGCTTGCTCTGTCTGATCAGCTGATCAGCGATTACAGTGAGGCCCTTTGAAGTCGTGAAGTGGCAGAATGATAACAGCAGGTGATTGACAGGTGGATGGAGGCTCTTGCTTACAAGCAAGTAAGAAATCCTCAGTCAGGCAAGTAGCTGTGCAGGCTCAGCTGCAGATACGAGGCTCAAGAGTCATGGTACATCTGCTCAAGATGCTCAGAATTGGACAAAAGCAACGAAGACGTCCCAATAAGTTTCCCAAACGCTGCCTGCCAAGTTTTAAAAGATGCGGTATAGCATGGCTCATCCACAAGACTCACTCGCCTTGCGGGGATGTCAGGATTGCAAACGTGTTTGGGCTTCTGTTCAGTTGCCATCACCTCCCCACTCAGTTACCATAATTGTTTGTTGAGGGACATTTTACCAGATCCAATTCCAGATAGCGGTTGGTATCTCCTGTCCTAGATCTCTTTTCCAATTATTTCGATAAGTATTAATTGATGTTTCCCTATGTCTAGAACTGCATGGGCTATGTGAATGCCTGAGCTGTGCCTTCAGCTAACCCCCAAACAGAAACAGAATTCTGTCTTATAACCAAGTAAGACCATTGGTCCATCTAGCTCAGTATTGTCTACAGTTCTCAAACTTTCTATCTCTAGCTCTCACTTCAGAGGACTGAGCCCCACCAATTGCAAAATGGTGATGGGAGAGTTTGTCACTGGCAAAAAGGTGATGGCAGAGTTTGACACTGGCAATTACTAATATCCCTTTGTATTGATATTCAATCTGTTTTAGGAAATTGTTCTCTGTTTCTGATCCATGCCACTTGTACATTTCTTTTTATTCAATTTCTGCATCGATCCATATTTAAGGCTAGGGGAGAGAGACACCACTCAAAATTCTAATCTGCAAATTAGTTTGAGAGATGTGGATCAAGTTGACTCACATAGGAATTTGCAAAGATCAAATTCTTCAAACATCCCCATTCCAAAATCAAAAGAGGAGTCTGTAGGTTCACTGCTAATCTGGACATACAAAGAACAGAAGGACATATCTTTCAGTCTGTGCGACCTTCCTTTGACACCATCTGTTTCTGAGCAACTGATATATGTTGGACCATCCCAAGTAATCATTGATAAATTATTCACCACAGGAGGAATCCAAAACTTCCCTTCCAGCCAATATAACCCTTTCTATGGACTTCAAAGGATTTGAGCTCCAAGCAAAAGACATCGGCAGAATGAATTTCAAAGCTATGAACACACACACACACACACACACACACACACACACAGGCTCCTGTCGACTGATTTCACTGCAGACAACTCTCTCCAGTCTGCAACATGAATCATAGACTTGGCTGTGAGTCTTAATTTAAGGGACAGAGAGGGAGGAAAAAAACATTGACTTCCCATGAAAACTATTTACCTTGAATGCAAAGTCCTTCAGTGCAGTTCTCTGACTCTTGGCTTGGACCTTCACAGAATTTCCCACCATTCCGCGGAGGTGGAGCACTGCATTCCCGGATCCTCATGTGCTCACACTCGGGACTGCAGACCGACCATTCACTCCACACCTCCCAGCCGCCATCCACTAAACGGAAAAGAAGGAATTCGCTGCTGCTTTAAATGACAAATTGTTTGATCTAGAACTCGTTTGGGGCACTTTGGTAATATAGGTGAACTCCTATATAGGCAAGATAAATGAAATCCTTACCCCATCATTTCTCAAATTTATCCCAGTTTTCCCTTCCATTGGAAGGTGGTGGACACTCCATTATATGCTTGATTTTTTTTTGTTTTGTTTTAAAAGCAGAGGTTACCTATCAGGGATGCTGTAATAGTGAATATTTTGCATCACCAAGGAGTTGGACTAGATGATATTTGAGGTCATTTTGAACTCTGTGGTTCCCTGATCCATCAAACCCAGATGTGAGAAACCTGTGGCTCTCCAGATGTTGTTTGCCCCAACTTCCATAATCCCTGCATTGGCCATGCTAGCTGGGGCTGATGGGAGTTGGTCCACCATCATCTGGAGGGATGCTGAGTCACCAGCCCTGATCTAGCCTGCAATCTGATTTATTTTATCTCCATAATGTTCAACCAATCATAGATCACCTGCAAACTTTCTGCTCCTTATATCTAGAGCTCCCTCTTAAAACACACATGCAATGCCTTCAAACACTTCTTGGAATTCAACCTCTCCCACACAGTTATCAAGACAAACCCTTAATCCAATGGTGAGGAACTTTAGCCCTCTAATTCTTGATGGATTCCAAAGCCAATCAGCCCTAGCCAATGGTCAGGGATCATGGGAGGTGCAGTCCAGCAGTAATGTATAGGTCCTGCTGTCCAATGACTCATGGTTATATATTTTGTGTGTGTCCTCAGGAGGACCATTGGGATCAACAGACTTTGAGTAAAATTTAATTTAACATAGTCCAGTATCCCAATGGTGAGGAACTTTAGCCGTCTAATTCTTGATGGATTCCAAAGCCAATCAGACCTAGCAAAGCTAAGTCTAAATAGGTATAACTAATCTGAATACATAAACCTTGTTTTAGATCATGCATAAGCTGCAGTGTCCCTCAGGCTTATATGCTCCTGCTCCCCAACTCCTCATCCCCAAGTAAGATGCAGAGAATGAAAGTTCAAAAGCTTACATTTTTGAACAAACCATTGTTCACCTCAGTATCTTGTTGGCAACTTGGAATCTATATTCTAGTTTAGGGGTAACCAACATGCTGTTTTCCAGATGTTGTGGAATCCCAGCCAGTATGGTCTGTGATCAAGGACAGGCATAGGGAAACTTGGCTCTTCAGATGTTTTGAGACTACAGTTCCCATCATCCCTGACTACTAGTCCTGTTAGGTAGGGATGATGGGAGTTGTAGTCCCAAAACATCTGCAGGGCCGAGTTTTCCTATGCCTGATCAAGGAGGATGGAAGCTATACTACAGCAACATAGCAGGTGTTTATAACTATCCCTGAGCTGCAACATTTCAGCTTACAGGAGGAAAACCTATGTTTGAATGCTTTGCTGTAGAATAATCCCCTAACCACAGAAAACTAGAATGTCAGGGACAACAGCAGGCTAGAACTCTTCTCCCTGACATCTAGCTTTGTATGTGCACAGAAGGTTTATATGTAACTATTAACTGAACACATAAAGCTGAATGGTCCATCTGTTTGTGTTATATACTAGACCTCAATTACACCATGCAAAAAAGGTGAATAAAATCTTTTTGCAGAGGGGAAAAAAACCTTGCAAAAAACCTAGTGAAGTTGAATTTAAAGCTCAAAACTGCTGTACAAGATTACATGTGCTAAAATTTATCTGCTATCAAAGAGGAGCCTAAATGGCTTCTTTTAGGTTGTATCTCTTCCCCAAATTTCTGTGCTATTTCCCCCTATTCATTTGGGCTGCAGCTACAATGTTTTTGAGAGGGAGAGAAAGATTGCCTGAAGCAAAAAAGAAGGAGGAAAGAAACAGAAGCAAAAATGATCTTGGGAGAAATGCTGACAGTTGGAGACTCTTTTTCAGACTTATTTGGAATCACAGGAAAGGGTTCATAGTTGACCAATTTTACATCATTTGCTTTCATCATTAACCAATAGAGAAATATGCAATCACATGATGTCCCATGTCCACATGATGTAGAAGGAAAAGCAATTTGGAATGCAGAACATACCAAAATGTTTATTTCAGCAGAAAGGCGAGCTGATATATTGGGGTCCACAATTACTCTACTCAAGCCCCAAAGTAGGTCACAGGATGGGGCAGACCTACTGTGCTATCTTATTGGCAAGTGGGCTGCCATTGCTTACCAGGAAGGAGAGGTTGGAGCAGTGCAAACATGCCTGTGGAGCCAATCTTGCTTCCGCATTTGCACCGCGGACCAACCTCTTCTCCTGCCTAGTCAACAGTGACCCACTTGCTAGAAAACAAGCAAAGCGACTCCACCCAGCCCAACATGAGGTTTTTCAAACTTGACCAAAGCATGGTTGGCATTAGGTCCGAATAGTCCCTTAGAGTGAAGGGAATAGCGGTTCAAAAATCCAAGGTCCAATCAGCTCTAGGGGTTGAGATAATTCTGACATGTGCCTGAAACATGACAGCTAGCCTTGCAGTTCTCTTGCTAATGCCCACAAGATATTCAGGATCAATATGTCTAACAACTGCCTTAGAACAGCTCACTTCCTGTCTTACAGTCTTTGCAACTCCCTGTTCAGCTCTTTTTCACGTTACCCATGTCCCAATTATGCATGTTAACAGAGCCAGTTCAAAAGAAATGCTAGATTCAATAAATTCGAATTTAAAGCCCGTAGACATGAAACAGACACCCACAGTGTTCAATGAGTTTTGGATAATGAAACCTAAAGGAAATATGCATGCATTTTAAAAATTGGACCGTGCATATTGGTAAATTTTCATTTGGGGGGGGCGTGGAATCCTCACAAATACAGGAAAACACAGAGATGACCATTGGCCATGCTCCCTGATGTATCATGTAATAGATTGTAAACTAATGTGTGGTTTTTTTAAAAGGAAAACATCTGTGATTTTTTTTTAATACTCATGAAAATTCATCAGCATTTTAGTGTCAACTAATAATACACACCTTTGTATGCAGTTTTCACCAATGAACACATTTTGAAAGCATTTTGCCTGAGTGTTTCTTCACAGATATATGCCTCAAAATGCACACTTTTCCCTAACAAATTTTTATATGCATTGTTTCAGAAACTGTGTCCTTAGGTAGGTCTGCATGAGAATGTAAAATGAACTGAATTTATTTTGCATCCCTGCCCTCAGGTGACTTTGCATATTGCAAAGAGCTCAGGGAGATAACAGCCCCATCTCCCCAACTTCAACCATGGGCCTGTGAACCATTTATTATTATTATTATTCCAAAAATTTCATTGATTTTAACAGATATAACATATAAAACATACAAAAGAAAACACATTACAATACTACAAGAAAGAAAGAAAAAACAAAAATAAGAACACATATTCCTTCTAAAGTTCATTTTAAATTCCATTGTTAACTGACTTCCTCAAATGCCCCCTAACTGAGTTTCCTTGTATCACCTTGTAGCAGTTTTCCAAGATCATCTTTCTAATACAGTTAACTGGGCCTGTGAACCATTTAAATGTAGGCCTGTCAGACCTCACCCCATTGGCTCTGCTCCACAAGGCCTCCTCTCTCCTCAACTGTTACCTGGGGCAGCCATTCCATCAGGCTGCCTCAGTGGGACAGTTAAGACCCAGGGCTCATGTCTTCAGCTCTTCCAGAGGCTTAGTTCCATTAGGCACCTCCTGCCTCTGAACAGTGCCAGGTGATCATTAGAAGAACAACTGTTTAGAAACTGGTGCCTGTGTCTGGATTCTGATTTTCCTCTTCCCTCCCAGTCCCTTTTGCCTTGTGTGGTCTGTGTGTTTAGATTGTAAGCCAGCAGGTAGGGACTGTCTTGCTTTGACTGTACATAAGTCACTCCAGGCTCACTAGAAGGACAGATTGTGAAGCTGAGACTCCAATACTTTGGCCACCTCATGAGAAGAGAAGACTCCCTGGAAAAGACCCTGATGCTGGGAAAGATTGAGGGCACAAGGAGAAGGGGAAGACAGAGGACGAGATGGTTGGATAGTGTTCTCGAAGCTACCAGCATGAGTTTGACTAAACTGCGGGAGGCAGTGGAAGACAGGAGTGCCTGGCGTGCTCTGGTCCATGGGGTCACGAAGAGTTGGACACGACTAAACAACTAAACAACAACAACGTCACCCCAGGAGCCTTTTAGGCTTCATTACTCTAAATAAATAGTAATAAATACCATCTCTCTCACCAGGGCACAGTGAAGTGCAGGTAATTTTCTGCACAGACATTCCTTCGCAGAAGGCGCCTCCGTTGAGAGGAGCTGGGTTTGTACAGGTCCGTGACCTCTTCTGCCATCCTCTGCCACATCGTACGTTGCAGTTGGACCACTCGGTCCATGAAGACCAGCCCCCATTCACTGCAACCAGAACACATATAGGGAGGTGGGGGATTAGGGAGGAGATGGAGATCACATTAACATTTGAAAAGAACAAACCTTCATTTCATGCCCTTCCATTCTCAAGCTCTCTTTTTAAAAGAAAAAAGTTCCTGCATGTTAAATTCCAAAGCTCAGTTGTAGACACTGCTGCCTAAATAACACTGGGATGCAATTATCTAAAGAACTTGGTGTCAATGTGTGGTCATGTTTGAAGGAGGCAGACTCATATGCCAGGAGGTGCTGAGGATGACAGGGAGATGGTTTTTGAGAAAGGAGAGGCTACCACCCTAATTCTCTCCAAACACATTCCACTTAAGGCACAATCAGATTCCCCAAAAGGCAAAAAAATAATAATGAGCCGAGGTTGTCTAGGCATCTATCTGACTTAATGAAATATAATTCTGCACTTTAAAGAGAACAAAGGCACAAAAGAGGCAGGAAACTTTCTCCTCCAGTTCAGATATGGCTGTTTGAAAAGCAACATTAGGGGCCCATACTAAGCTTGATTAACAAGCTCTCCTATAGAGAAAGAGCTGTTACAAGGAACCATAGATGCACAATTTTATTTTGACTGACCCTTGGCGGGAGGAACTTCCCCTCCCACCAAGGGCCACATTACCTTGAGGGTAATCTGTCGAGTGCCACATGAAAGTCCCCTGTCTGAAACCTTAGAGAGTAATTGCCAGCCAGGGCAGACAAGACTGAGCTACATGGACCAATGGTCTGCCTGGGTAGAAAGTATCTTTTCCATGTGGCAACATCCAGATGCTGAACCATCTGCCTTGCATGAAGAAATTCAGTCCCCAGCATCTTCAGGTAGGTCTGGGAGAGACCCCCGTCTGAAACCGTGGAGAGTCACTGCTAGTCTGACTTGGTATAAGGCAATTTCCTATGCTCCTATCTCTGCCACCCTCCCTCTGCTTTAAATGAATATTGCAAATGGGGCCCTGGGTAATTCTTTTTTAGTATTTGCTTATTTGTTACGTGGGTGGCGCTGTGGGTAAAAGCCTCAGCGCCTAGAGCTTGCCGATCGAAAGGTCGGCGGTTCGAATCCCCACGGCGGGGTGCGCTCCCGTTGTTCGGTTCCAGCGCCTGCCAACCTAGCAGTTCGAAAGCACCCCCGGGTGCAAGTAGATAAATAGGGACCGCTTACCAGCGGGAAGGTAAATGGCGTTTCCGTGTGCTGCGCTGGCTCGCCAGAGCAGCGATGTCACGCTGGCCACGTGACCCGGAAGTGTCTTCGGACAGCGCTGGCCCCCGGCCTCTTGAGTGAGATGGGCGCACAACCCTAGAGTCTGTCAAGACTGGCCCGCACGGGCAGGGGTACCTTTACCTTTACCTTTTATTTGTTACATTTCTTTCTCATCTCTCCACCAAATGGCCCTCCAAGGTGGCTAACAGCAATAACATATAAATTAAGATCAGTTTTGTCTAGGAAAATCCAGAGGAGGGAGATTGAGCAAACAGTTGGCCATCTTTATTAACTTCGGTGTGTCTACTCTGAGTAGAACTTGCATTGGATGCAACACAAAGAGTCTTCTGGCACCTTAAAGGTGAACTAATTTACTATTGCATTAATTTTCATGGATTATGGTCCATTTCATCAGTAGCATGAAGTGTTATCCTGAATTTTAGGTGTATATATACACTTGGCAGATTGTGAAGTGAGGTCAAGGGGAAATGTAATGCAGAAAATGTACAGACAGTGATAATTACATACTTAACAGTGGTTATTCATAAAATAGTTGCCTGTGACATTGAGAACTGTTTAGGGAATCAGCGTTGTTAAGTATGTAATTATCACTGTACTTTTCTGCATTTCATTTCCCTCTGAACCCACTTTTACTACCACCACCCCCCCAAAAAAAAAACCCAATGTGTCTATCTGAACACACACCTAGATAAAATGGCTTAAATCTAATGAAGTGGAATATACTCTATAAAATATTATGCCATAATAAAATTGTTTGTTTTTTAACTTGCCACAAAATCCATTTTATTTTTGCCATAAAACACCCCCTTAAGAACTGAGGCTGTCCATGGGCCAAGAACGACTCGCCATCTGTTCTCTTTGAACTTAGTTGCCTGTTTGTGGTCAGTCTTGCAGTTGTTTGTGGGGGGTTTTAAGACCCCCACACTTCCTTTTTCTTTTCTTTTCTTTTCTTTTCTTTCCCCCTTTTATTTCATAGTGAATGCCATCCTTCAAAAAAAAACACAAAAAAACCCCAACCACAACCAAAGACACACAATGACTCAGCACTTGGAATGAAGTAGCTCAGTCCAAAGAAGTTTACTGAACTAGTTGAAAAGTCTCTGACCTACATCTGAAAATAGCTCCCATACTTTTCTTTTTGAAAAGTGCTTCAATCAGACATCTAGGGAAAAAAGTTAGAAAGCAAAGTGTGGAGACAATTTCCTAAAGCTTATTGGGCAGATATGGAGACATTGCTATTGCTAAGGATGTTTAGACATTTAATCACTGCTGCTAAGCAATCAGAAGGAAGCAATGTGAGGCACTTCCCATATATTTCCTGGTGAAGAGATTTGTTCTCTTCCAACAGGAGCAGTGCATTTTAGACCTGTGTGACTGGCATACATTAAACAGGGTAATTCTTTTCTGTTATGGAAACACAATTATGGGGGAAGCTTCACTAGTTGATATTCAGTCTTAAAAATGTCTCACTTGTGTGGCCTCTGATTTGCTTTTGAACCCAATATTTCAGCACAACAGCTTGTAACATTCTGAATGCTGTTTTATAAAAAAAATATTTTGCAGAGGATAAATTTCTTATGAATTAAAAAGAAATCACCCAGATGAACTCAGACCGAAACAGTTTGTTTTGTAAAAGTATGAACTTAAATAGGAATGAGTTCCTTTTTGAAATGCATGAACTTGAACTAGAACTAGTTCCTTTCTAATTGACACTTTCTAAGCACTCTAGTGAACATTGTCGCCAAGTCAGTTCAGTAATTAGTTATTTCACATATTCAGTTAGCACCATGTATTGGAGCTTGCCAGTTTGTAATGGCTTTTTAGTGAAATAGGTGTTAAGTTATCAAGGAGGTGTGCTCCCAAGTATTCTCGTGAATTTCTGGGACTGCCAATCAAACAAGGAGGTTTAAAAGCTTTTCTTTAATGGCTTTTAAATTGATCTTGCTATTAACTGTTTATTCTATTCACTAATTAAAATGCATATCACAATTTCTTGGTCCAAATTATATTTTTAGAAGAGCAAAGGAGGGGTTTTCTACTAATCATTAATCACAGATAAGTCTTTGGGGGAGGGGGGGTGGAATCCAAAAATACCACGCAGTCTCGATCCAAGAAGTCCCTTTTCACATGTACAGTGGAAGCACCTTCTAAACTCTGCTTCAGTCTTGTGAAGGAGGAACATACATTCATTTCATGATCAATAGAATAATGAAACAAATGTAACTAAAATGAATTCCTTCCCATTCACAAACTGAGTTCAGAAGGGGTCTAAGCATTTCTTCCAATCTTGAATTCATTTACTTTTTGTTTTGTTTTGTATCTCCTAAATGCTGCAGGTAGATCAATCGGACTGTCTGATGCTTTTGTTTACTTGTGTTTCTGTGAAGAGAAAACACACAGAGAGACAAGTAAAAGTGTCAAACAATCTGATAAGTCTTCTTATCTCCATAGAACCCACTAGTTATGCCAAGCCCAAGCCCTAGAAATAATGCTTATACTTAATGATAGTGTTATTATTATTATTATTTCTTAATAAAATTTGTATACTGCTGTCAGGGGCTCAGGGAGAGAGCCACAGGGGAAAGAGGAGATGGAGAGCGAAGAGGAGGGATCTGAGGGAAGCATAGGAGGGTATGAGAGTGACCAGGGAGATTCCATGAGCCTCTCCAGCGAATCAGAAGATTCCCAGAAGGAGGCGCCCAGGGTCAGGGCAAGGGGGGCCAGCGGAGAGGCTCAAAGCGGCAGCTGGAGATCAGGGCCAACTTCCCCACCAGAGCGTAGCGGGGAGGGGGAAGAAGCCCACAGATCAGGACCAGCGGGGAGGGAGAGTGAGTCAGGACTGACCACGCCTCCGTCGGGGAGTGGAGGAGCAGAGGGGAGGTCAGTTCCAGCCAGCCCCCCCCCCCCCGAAGGGGGAAGCAGTGACAGGAGCAGTGTAGCCGTTAGGAGGAAAGTGGGAGGCTGGGCGCGCGCGCCAAGTTCAAATGTGCAGGCGCGCGGGACAGCAGAAAATCCGGATTGGGAACCAGGTCCCAAAGCCCGCCGGAAGCAGGGGGAGGAGTCAGAGGAATCCGCGTCCGAAGAGTCGAGGAAGGGTGAGACCTCGGCGGGCAGGAGGACCCAGAGGAGAAAGGAACAGAGGAAAAGGTGGAGCAAGGCGAGGGTCTTGAACTGGTGTACGGGGGGAGGAGATTCAGATGGAGCTTTGACGGTCTAGAGTTTCAGACGTAGGGCTGCGCGCCACGGCTGTAAAACCAGTAATGAACTTCAATAAAGACTTTTGTATATAAAGAGATACTGGCGTTGGTCCTCTGTGAGCTGGGACCTGAGGCGGCTCTGACAACTGCCTTTCATCTGAAGATGACAGGGCTGTTTAACTTGTGAACTGTACCAATCACCAGGTTGGCATTTGCAAGCTAAGAAGTTATAGCATTTGACACCCACTGACCGTACACCACCACAGTGGCTGACAGGCTTCGTCTCTTGGCAACTATGTTGGCTGCCATACATGTGTAGTTCCCAGAATCAGAGAGGCGCGCTTGGCGGATGATCAGGTTGTGATCTGCTCGGGTGTCAATGTTTTCATCCTGCTCAGCATCAACGGGTTCTTCATTCTTCAGCCATTCTACCTGGAGAGATAAAACATGAAGGGTGGATTAATGGGATGGATTTGCTTTATTTATATCCCACCTCTCCAGAATTGAAGATGATGGATAACATTAGTCACTTACTGAAAGTGATTGGCAGTACAATCAGGGCAGACAGGGGAAAGCATATTTCCGTATCGTATGTTCACTGTATAAAATTTACTGCTACAATTTGCAAGGGGGTTAGACAAATTCATGCACAACAGTGATCAGTATTGGGCCAAGACATTTTGCTACCTGAGGCAAAGTGCAAAGATGGCAGCCCTCCATTCCACATACAGAAGCCACCTGGAATAAGCTAGCACACTTGAGGGCAACAAAGTAGTTATGCTGGTACAGGGCAGACTAAATGGCACACATAGCTCTGCCCTGCAGCATTTGAGGGCTGAGGGGGGCTATCTCCACTGCCTCTTAGCATCTGCTGCCTGAGGAAATCAGTACACTTTGCCTAATGGTGGGCTTGGCTCAGTCAACAATGATGGCTATATGGAACTTCCATGTTCAGAGACACCATGCCAATGAATATCAGTTCAAACAAGTTACAGCACTTCACATCCACTGAGGAGGCAACAGCAGGTCAGACCTGCTACCTTCATGACCTGCTTTTGGACTTCCTGGAATAATCTAGTTAGACATTATGGAAAAGAAGATGTTATGCTCAATGCACCTTTGATAACATTTAGAAGTACTGTTCTTAAATGAAAGATTAATCCACAGCTGTCCTTAAGGGCCTTTTCACACATTGGGTGATATCCAATTAATGTGTTCCATTAGGTCCAGAATTTCTACTTGCACAATGGGACTTTTCCCCATCACCCCCTGTACATTTGTCCCAATCTGTAAGAGCAGGTTGGGGAAACCCCTAGAACATATTTAGGGGGTGCACAGGGTAAGGAAAGTGGGAACACCTTGTTGCAAAATCTTGGAACTGACAGGATTGTTATTTGGTGATATTTGAGTTCTAACTGCTGCAATTTTTTTGCATGTATATGAATACACCTTACTTTTTATTTCAGAATTTATCTAAAATTGTGAAGCATGAATGTTACCAATAGACTGCAACAAGAAAATCAGAAATATACAAACATATAGAAGTAGAAACGAACTGAGTAATCAAAGGTGGACAAAAATGAGAGGATGCCTATCCGCATTAAACAAATTTAGTCAAAATCTAGAGGAATGATATTAACCAATTAATATCCTACCCTCATTTGGCAATTATGCTCACTTTCTCTCAACTACTTCACATATTTATTGTGAGGATAAGCTGTGTTGGCAGTCCCAAGATCCTTGAAGGAGGAGTATGATAAACATTTAAAAAAAATGGTACCATGGGATTTCTTTAGTCACAAAACAACCAATGCCTGCTGAATGATGGAGATCACAAACAAATGTGGGATATCTTCAGAGCAAGAGAAGCAAACCCTTCTTATGTTCCTTCCTTCCTAATAAAGCTGAAACAATGGGCTGATATGGCCATAATGCTAAACCAGTCTTTAGGCTCTCATCTTCACCCCACCTCCTCTAGCTTGACTGCAAGGAGTCTGACAGTTTTTGCATCCTTTTCTGATTAACCACAGCTTGCCATCTTACCCCAAAGCAGTCAAACTGTGATTGATCTTAACTACTGTTAGTTGAAGCAAGCCAAGTTCAAATGAGGGTTCATGAAGCCGGCTTGTTTCAAGCGTCCACTGCAGTTTATGATTGAAATGGCATGCCAAACACAACCTAAACTGGAGGCAGAAGCTTCAGGTCGCCTCCTTCTCACTGCCACGCATGACACAAGCCTGAGGCTCATTTTGGTTTGTCTTTTTAATGATAAACCAGGGATGAGGAACCTGTAGTCTTCCCAGGTGTTATTTGACTCCAGCTCCTAGCAATCCCCACTATCATGACCACGGTCATGGATGATGGAAGTTAAAGAAGTCCATCAATATCTGGTGGGTCACTGCTTCCCTAACCCTGCGGTAAACTATGGCTTAGTATTACATGCAAACTAGGCCAGCCTCTTAGAACAGAGTTGTGGTGAGGGACTCCCCAGCCTCCCTCTAGACTTGAAGCAGAAAGAAGCCTCAAGCTTCCTAATATTTCATATACATCTTTCAGAAGCAACAAGCTGTGGATCTCATATACATATGAATTCCCGGAAACACTGACAAAATATTATTTCACTCTGGAGCTGGCACAAAGCTGCTTAAACTAAACCACACAGAGCTAATTGGCATTGCAGAGCAGGTAAATTTCAAGGCAGAATCAGCTGTCTCCATCAAAATATGAGAGGTCTCAGGATCCAGGTTCAGTGGCAGGTCTTTCTGCAGATCCACAAGAATGAGCAAAAGGCAGTGAAGTAACAATTTATTTCCATGTCTCAAACTCAGACAGATAACCTCAGCTGGAAACCAGGAGAAGAAGGGCTTGTAACGTGCAGGTAATCAGCTTATGGATCTGCAGGCTACAGGCATTCATTAGCACACTGTTCTGTGCAGATGGTTGGCAATTTGTAGATTTTCTAGTTTATAAACAAATCTGCGGCCACCGACCATCACAGCCAATTAGACTCCATGCCAAGCAGCAGGCTCTTTTTGCAATGCCATCCGTCACGTTGGTTAGCTAGGGACAGAAGGAGCAAAAACAGACTTACCCTGCACTCCTCACATCTCTGCAAGATGACACTGTTGGGAGGGAGTGGAGGGGGAAACAAACAGCAAGGAATTTGCAATGATGAGGCAATGTTACATTATATTTATGCACAATGGCATACCATCTAACAAGCCATGAGTGAATTGCATGATCCTTGGGTTTCGCCCAAAGTCACCAGGCAATAATACAGAGATAGTCAACATGATGCTCTCCAGATGTTGGTGGATTACAGATCCCATCATCCCTGATCACTGACCATTTGGCTTAGGCTGGTGGGAGTTGTAGTCCCGGGTCTTCTTAGCTAATGTCTGTTTTCATTTAGATCTTCACCACCACAAACTCTGGCTTTTTCACTCTCTCTGGCAGAAACTCATGAACCGCATAAGAAAGGTCAAAATTGTACCTATGGGGTATTTTCCATCTTGTCTCCACATGTCAGGGACTGGGCAGAGGAGGAATGGTGGAGACTGCCCCCCCAGCTTGACCCTTCGAGGGAGGAGGAAGAGGAAGACAGTTTAGGTTTACAACAGGGGTTTGAGGGAGGTCACAGCTCAGAGGAAGGTGAGGGGGAAAGTTGGGAAATAATAGGAGAGGAGAAGGAAGAAGCACCAGGTGGGCAACAGCTGATGGACACTGTCTTTAGAAAGCATTCCAGACACCCCCTCACTCAGAACTCGGCGAGCCTTGAAGGTAGACCTTTGAAAGAGAGCAAAGAGCTCAGACAGAAGGCACTTCTGAATGAGAAAGTGGGAGATTCATGCAGGACAGCGCCATTATCCAAGAGGCTGGGTTCTATAGCCTCTCTCTGTAAATACTGAATAAAAAGTGGATGGTAAGAAACATTTCCTTGTCTTTGTACGTTCCTGGGCAATTGGCCCAGGAGTTGCTGGCAGCAGCCTGACACCACACTGCAGAGAGCAACTTTGAGATCATTGCACTTAGGAAGACCGGGCCATTCCTTCTTCCCTTAGTATCCCTCTTGGGTGTTGGCAGAGAGAATCTTCTTGGTAGTTCCACCACCCTCAGAAGTTCAGGGAATGCCAGCCTTGGAGAGGGCATTATGGCAGCCCCTAAATTGTGGACCTCCATCCCCACAGTGGTGCACTTGGCACCTTAAATAGTTTCTGCCATATGCTGATGATGCGCCTCTTCAACATGACATTTGTTGCCTTTGGCCCCATCCACACTAAACATTTAAAGCAACATCATAGCATTTTTAACAGTCACAACTCCCCCCCCCAAAAAAAAAAAATAATCCGTGCAAACGGCTGTTTGTAATGGGTGTTGATGATGATGATGATAATATAATAATAAAATCATAATCATAATCATCATATTTTATTTATACCCCGCCCATCTGGCTGGGTTTCCCCAGCCACTCTGGGCAGCTTCCAGCAAAATATTAAAATACAATAGTCTGTTGAACATTAAAAGCTTCCCTAAACAGGGCTGCCTTCAGATGTCTTCTAAAAGTCTGGTAGTTGTTTTTCTCTTTGACATCTGGTGGAAGGGCATTCCACAGGGCAGGTGCCACTACCGAGAAGGCCCTCTGCCTGGTTCCCTGTAACTTCGCTTCTCACAGTGAGGGAACCACCAGAAGGCCCTCGGAGCTGGACCTCAGTGTCCGGGCAGAACAATGGGGGTGGAGATGCTCCTTCAGGTATACAGGACCGAGGCCATTTAGGGCTTTAAAGGTCAGCACCAACACTTTGAATTGTGTTCAGAAACAGACTGGGAGCCAATGTAGGTCATTCAAAACCGGTGTTATGTGGTCTTGGCGGCCACTCCCAGTCACCAGCTAACTGCTGCATTCTGAATTAGTTGTAGTTTCTGGGTCACCTTCAAAGGTAGCCCCACATAGAGTGCATTGCAGTAGTCCAAGTGAGAGATAACTAGAGCATGCACCACTCTGGCAAGACAGTCCGCGGGCAGATAGGGTCTCAGCCTGCGTACCAGATGGAGCTGGTAAACAGCTGCCTTGGACACAGAACTGACCTGCGTCTCCATGGACAGCTGTGAGAGTTGCTGGGAGACTCACAGAGCTGTAATTCTAAGAGTGTTTAAGTTCAGTTATGTAATTATATTGGCTTATCTGTATTGTTTTATATACCATGCTGTATGGATTGATTTTTCTTTTTTCTTTTTGGTACTTACTGATAAAACAGTTTAGAATTCTTCCTGCAATGTTTTGAATTGTCACATTTATTGTTCATTTGATATGTCATCAGCCACTTTGGGAATAAACAAATGAAAAAGCGGCACAAAAATAAATAGAGGATGGTGATGAAATCTGGGGGGGGGGTGTCTTTCTCAGAATTATGTTCACTGCTGCCAGGAACCAC